TACGATTTTTAGATACATATTTGCAGAAAATATGATTAAAAATCTATGCAGAGATTGATCTATCCATTAATTCACTATTTATTTCTAATTTTTTTTAAATAAATATTTATATAATTAATAATTTTTATAAAATATCATATAATATAATATATATAATATATTTATACAATTATATAAAAATAATTATAAAAATTCTACATATCTTATTTACAATCAAAATATCATGAGAGATTGATTCTATCAAAGACGATTTTACAAAAAGTTTAATTAAGAAGAAACATTATGTAATTTTTCTTATTAGATTATTATATATAAAGATCAACTTTAATTTTTTAAATAAAACAATATAATTTTTATTGCACTAATCGATACGACTCGATTATTTCTTATAAAAAGTTTTAAATTATTTATGTCGATGAAAATCTTTAAATAAGAAATATTTTAACTTGTAAAATTTGTAAAATTATATGAAAAACAAAAAAAAAAGTATAAATGATAGACTATTGCTTCGCAATTATTTCTTATCTTTTATAAATTTAATAAATTTGAAATTAAAATATCTTAAAAAAATCTTTTCTGTAAAAAAAAAATAGTTTAGTATTTTTTCTATAGGAAATAACAAGCTGCATCAATTAAAATACAATAAAAATTACATGATTCTATTGAAAAAATTAAAGTTGATCTTCATATACGATGTGTCTTTTTATAAAATAATTTTTTAAAAACATTCTTTTGATAGAATTAATCTTACATTATATTCGATTTTGCAAAAATAAACAATTGATTTTTTTTTTGAGTAATTTTTATTTCATGTATAATCAATATCAATAGTATATCAATAATAAATATAAATAATACATCAATAATAAAAATATTTTTAAATAATGGATTAATTAAAAAATTAATTTATTAAATAATCCTTCTCATTTATGAAATAAATTTTCTCGTTTATATTTATAGTTTGGAAATTTGTTAATCGTACAAATTTTTCATCTTTTAATCGCAAATTGATAGATGAAATATTCAAAGTAAATATTCTGATGGAGATAAAAACATATATGTATAATTTATTTTCTTATTCGTGGAATAACTCGTAGAAATTACAACATCTCATGACGTTTTAATTTACTTAGGATCAAATGACTTGACGTAAATCAAATCAGATATATCTACAATAATACCTGCAATATGTTACACTGTTTTGAAATATAATTGCAACTTTGTCTGAATAGTGTTTCAATTTTTATTTCAATTTTGTTTAAAATAAATATAATTCTTTTCTGCGAATATATATCTCTCTGCGAATAGAATATGATTTTGTTTTAAATTTCATCACGAATATATATATGTTCATTATTTTGTTAAGTTGTCCTAAAAATTCTTTCTAGATTCTATTTTTTTTTCATTTTATTTTCCCAAAATGAATATTTATAATAATAAGTTACATAAAAGCATTATTTTTTATTACAGCATTTAACTATCATATAATTATTGTAATATAAACATATAATAATCATTTTAATAATATTTTATCATTTATAAAATTTTATATATCTTAACAGAGTCTCTTCAAATTCCATTTTTTTGGAATTTCTATAATTTTATTATTTCAAAATAATAATTAATTTATTTATAAATTACTCAAGGTGGCTTTTAATATAATTTAGAGAATCATTTGTATTATTTTTATTATTTTATTTGACATATAATTATAAAATTGTAAAGAGAAATTTAATCAACTCTTTTTGATAATATTATTAATTGGTAAATTTTTACAAAAGGAATATTTAATGAATATTTAATGAAGGAACGGATGCATTATTGGAAAGTTGAAAGAAAACTCAATAATATAAATGAGGGAGAAAAAAAACTAAACTTTATATTTCTCAAATTTTAATTACCAAAACGTTTCATAATAACAAAAAAAATTTTTGAAATAGTTTAATATTAAATATATTATATAATATTTATATATTATATTATTAAAATATAAATATATTATATAATATATTTATATTTATATAAATAATAAAAATAAATATA